CTGCCCCTTCCCACCAGGACCAGCATCCCCTTCCAGGAGGGATGGGCGCTAGCAGATCAGCCCTGAGCTAGCGTGGGCCGCCTGTGTAGTGCGCCTGTGTAGTGCCAGAGGGGAACTGCGGGAGGTATCTCAGGGGCGTGGCCACCTCCACCCCCGCCTAGTGGCCCAGAACCAAATACTCCTGTTCTGCAGATAGGCCACCCACCTTGCGGGAGGTATGGAGGAGCCCGCAGCCTCCAGGCACTTCACTCTTGGCTAGAAAAAAGGGAGAGGCCTCAGGGTGCCACCCTACCTCTTCAGGTCTCTCTTGGTGGACTGGGGCCGTACCTGCCCAGTCTCCAGTCCCCTGCCCTCCCCCCAGTCTGTCCCTGCTACAACTGCCATACCAGCCTGGGTGGGCTGCACCTCGAGGTTGACGTTGACAAAAAAACGGATGCTCTCGCCAGACACAATGGAGGAGTTGACCGTGTCGAAGGCCTCTTCCCCCAGGTTCTCCTCATGGGTTTCAGAGGCATCATCTGTGTCACACTTGAGGTAGCCTGGAGACCCCACCACCACCAAGAGAGAGAACCCCCAAGAAAGAGGGCCTGGCCGTCAGCGCTGTACCCCAGGAAGGACTTCAAGACCAAGGAGCAAGGACCCTGGGCTGTCCCACCTGGTGCACTCTCAGTGAGCGGTTGAGGAGGCCCCTCGCCGGCCGGGAGGGCAGCCTCAGGCCCACGTAGACAGAGTATATATGTCTTGGCCCTGCCCCCTCAACCCCCATCCAACAACTTTCTCCAACATTCTTCAGCTACAGGAACTGGGGTCTTGCACTGTTCTGACTCACACATATCCTTCGGCTAGGAAAAAATACGTTCATTCTACAAACTTTGATCCAGGAACGCGGTAAAATGACACAGTTAAGATTGCCTAACCCCTGCCCTCTCAGAATCTCCTGGTTATAGGACCCAGACCTGCCTGGCTACCCAGGTGGGATCCAAGGCAAGCTAGAGCCACTGCAGTGTCCAGAGCCCTCCCTCCCCACGTCACTGACACAGGATCTTAGAGTGTTTTCTCCCAGGGAGGGCTTGTGAGCAAAGCATCAAGGCTGAGAGACAGTCCAGACATCCGACAAGGCCCAGGGGGCAGGAGAGCCAGAGAACTAGAGCCAGGAATGGACGGGAGAGGGGACCTGCAGCCGGAGGCCTCATCTCAGCCCCATCCCCATGGTGGGGGAGGGGCACGCCAAGGCCCCTTGGGACTCCCAGAGCATAGACCCCTTGGTCTGCCCCTCAGTTCCTGCAACTGCCCCACAGCACAGGCTCCCTCCTGTAGGAAGGCCTCCCCGAGAGGTGCAAATGTTCTAATCTTCCCTAAGCCCTGCCACCTCTTTACTGACCCTTGGCCCCTCAGACCCATTCCCACTCCCCACCTCAGTCTCTCACAACTCAGGCCAATTGGCCAGCACCGCAGGCCTGCGAGCTCCTGTGCTCTAAGTGGGAGGCCCCGAGAGCCTTCTTTGCGGCTCGCAGAACCCTTCTTCTCTGGAGAGTCCTCCTAGGGCCCGGCTTCATTTTTGGCCAACGCGGCACCTCTTCCTGACTGTGGTCCCCTATGGTTCACCACTTGTGGGTGATCCCAGGAAAGGGATCCTGTGGCCCCTGTCACCCAGACCCCACCAATGCCTAACACCTGTGCAGGGACAGGGACGGGTCAGCAGCACGCCTTCACCTGCCAGGCAATGACTCACCCTGACTCACTTCCACTCCCGCCCGCTGGTTTCCTCTGCACATCCCAGGCCCTGTTCCCCCGATGTCGCTCTGTGCTCAGCCTGGGCCCTTTCTGGACAGGAGGCACCAGGCCTCTGCTATTAAGGCCCCTATGGACTAGTGAAACCTAGCCCCAGGTCTGCACTGCACCCAGAGCCCAGAATAGAGCTATTAGGTCAAGAGGTGTCCTTCTGACTTTTATCATGGAGCTCATGTCCATGAAAAACTTCCTGCCCAATCCCAGGACTGCTTTGCTTTGACAACCTGGATCTCTAGCCCTAACCTGCCCCAGCCTCCCCTCCGTCACCGAAAGCACCCTCCCCCCTACCGCCCCTCACACTGCGCCCTTCTCCCCAGGACCTGCCCAGTTGGCACTACCAGGTCCCTGCAAGGCTCCTGGGATGCCAGGTCCCCTCCCCCATCCTACAGCCCAGCCACATACCCAACCCCCCTGCCAGCAGCCTGCCACATGCAGCCATCATGCCCTGGGGACCCTGGGTAAGAGCACATCACTACTCTTTCCAAACAACGTCCCACTAGACAACCCTCTGAAGGTGCTGCCAGCTCCTGGGTCTGGGCACAGAAGAGGTAGCAGAGAGCCCGTCCAGAGACACAAAGAAAAGAGAGTTAGATCAGAGCTAGCAAGGAACACGGAAGCAGAATTACATCTCTGTAGAGGGACAATAGCAGCCCCTCCCTCACAGGGCCGGGCAGGGACTGAGGAATGTGGGTATCCAAACACTTGGCCTAAGGCTGGTCAGATTACCAGAGCGCTGTAAAACTGAACCCCGGGACGACACCAGGTGGTCTATGCAGCCCAGGAGAGGGACCACAGGATCACCAGCGACCCGCTAGTGTCCAGGGCAGTTTCAGCTGCCTTTCTGACCACACCACAGCCGCCTGAAGGGTAGGCTCCAAAGGCATCCCAGCACCAGCAGAGGACCACAGACAGGTGGCCAATGCCATGGGCACCCATGTGGATGGACTAGCTTCCCTAGAGACTTTTGACCAAGGAGCTCTCTCTATACACATAGCCACACCTGAGTGTACTCACCTGCATCCTCGAAGTATCCATTCTGTGACATGATGGAAGAGTTTTCTGCAAGGGAAGCCAAAGAACTGTTACTAGCTCCAAGGACCAGCCTTGGACAGTCCTGGGCACCCATCTGCCCTCCCTCCTACACCAACTCTGCTGATTTTTTTCTTACTCTCTCCAGGGACTCAACCCAGGCCAACCTCAAAGAAAAAGGACCAGGGGATGGTACTAGGCAGGGCCCTCCTGAGGAGCCAGAGGAAGTCAAGCCTGTAATCCTTCAGCCAGTCTACTAGGGCCGGCCCAGGTGAGAAAGCTGAGCGGTGTTTTCAGCATGTTTTCTCCGAGAGTAATTAACAGTACCCCGTGAGAGAGCGAAGAATTCGCTGGTTGCAGCACACAGTGGCTGGGGCTGGCGGGAGGAAGCTGCATCCACCCTGCCTGCAGTAGCCAGCCACCTTCTTTGGCAGTGCCTTTTCTCCCGAGCCCTGGACCTGGGTCGGGGCCGGGGCCCGGGCCCGGGCCCTCCTCCCCGCACATGGATCCTCTCTCTCCAGTCGGTACTGACGGCCATCAACACCCATCACACGTGCAGCCGCCCCCAACCTCACGCGACCCAGCACGCGGGGGAGTGGGCAAAGGAGCAACGGCTTCCTCCTCGTAGCCTTCTTCCATTCGCGCCACAGACGCGTCCCGGGCCTCCTGGGAGGCGGAGCCGTTGGTCCTCAAGGGGGATGGGAAGGGGAGCTGTGCGCGCTCCCCACCCCGGGCCCCGGATGGTCCCGGCTGTTGGTGCCGCGCTGTGCAAGGAAGGAAGCCACAGACGGGACAGCGTGCACGAGAGGAAAGTGACTCTAGGCTTGGATACCCTGGGGGTCGGCGAAGGCGGGAGGCAGGATGCCGAAAGACCAGCGGGCGGGAACCCGGGCTGCATCCAGAAGGGAGGAAGGAGCAGGGGCAGTAAAGCCAGCAACCGAGACCGCAGAAATAAACAGAGGACGAGGGTGACCAGGGTCTGGAAGGGTGGCGAGGGTACACACCCTACTCCCATCCCGAGCGCCCCACGTGCAAGTAAATGCTGTACAAACCCCGCGCTGGCTCTCGGGTGTCCGAGCCGCGTTGGAGACTGCTACTGCCGCTCAGGGGATAGTCAAGAAGTCCGGGGACCACTACCAGTGGGCAGGCTTCCGCGCAGAACGTAAAATGAGGCTTTCGGAGACAGCAGCGTTCCGGCTCTGATAAGCCCGACGCTCAAGGTGTTAGGGAACCCACAGCTCCGTACCGCCCACTTCCTTGCCCCCCAGCCCTCCACCTCATTGGTTCAAAAATTTAAGGCTCCCGAGACGGCGACGCAGAGTTTTAATCCAGCGCTCATTGTCCATAATGCTTTCCCTGGGTCTCCTTTCAGCACTCGTCTATCCAGCAGGACACCCGCTCCCTCGAGACCGAGCTCACCCTACACTCCTCCCCCGGCTGGGAAGCCCCCACCACCCTCTTGCCCACGATGCTCTGGGGCCCTTACAGAGGCGGCATTCACGATTCCCCCCAGTGCTCCAAAGACTCTTCCAAGTCTCCCTTGCGGAGAGCGGACGGCCTTTCCGCCACGCCCGCCGGCTCAGGCACCCACCGCAAGGCTGGAAATGGAACACGCGCTTGGTGGCCGCGGTCGTAGCCCTGGCGATCGGCAGTCGGCCGGCCGCACCCACGCGCGCACTCCCGGGGTCCTCACTCCGTGCTTCGGCACCCCAAACTTGTCCCAGGCGGGCCAGCGGAGGGAGCTGGCGACACACCCCCGCGCTGCGCCTGGGTCCTAAAGCCGCTCAGACGCCCCGCCCCGGCGCAGGGGGCCGTGCGTCCCAGTACTGGGTCCCGCCCGCACACCAGCACTCCGGTCAGCTTCGGGCGGGCTGCTCCCGGAAGACCGTGGTGGCTTAACCAGAACGTGTAGACCCGGCTTCCTCAGGCCCGCCCGCCCGCCCAAGCGTCGCCGGGTTAGGGGCTGGGCGGGGCTGATAAGTTTCTGGAAAGAAACTCGTTGGGCTCAGGGACCCACAAAGTCAAGCCCCTGCGTCGGGTCGAGGAAGGGCTTCCTCAGAATCAGCTTTAAGCGCGCTGTTGGCCTCCGCCCCCTCTTCTTGGCAGGGGGTCTCCGCTCCGCCTCGCACGCCGCCTGCTCCGCCCCCTCCATTTATCCAGGCTGCTCGGGCGGTAAACCTTCCTACTCCTCCAGGAAGCGCGCCTGGACTAGACGGCCCGGCGCGCCTTCTCTGGGCTACGCCCTGGCCCGCGGAGCCAGCCGCCCTCCTGGCTCGGCGGCGTCGGGTTTGCTCGCAGCGCGCCTCGCGGTTTCTCCCCTGGCCTCTTTGCGCCCTCGGCTTTCACTTGGGTCAAGGCCTTGGCTCGCGGCTTCTTTCCTTCCCAAGATGGCCCACCGCCCGGTTTTCCTTTCCGAACAGGCAGGATCCCGGCCCGGGACGCGCCTTCTCTGGCTCCTGTTCTGCTAGCAGAGTGAGTGCGTGTGCACGCGCGCTCGCGCTTGCCTGTGTAGGGAGGTGGTGGTGCGCGCGGGCAGGTGGGCGCGCGCTGCTTTGGGGTCCGGCCAATCCAGTACATGCGATGAACCTTTGTCCTGGCCTTTGGTTGCTTCTCAGCAAACGATTCCACAACCGTCGGGCTCTGGATTGACCTAGGATCTCCCTCACCGCCAAGTGGTAACCCCTCATCCCCTCCACAGTAGCCGCCACCCCTAAGACCAACAGCGATCCCCGCCCTCACCTGCTGCTGGGACGGAGTCCTGAGCCTGTTTCCCAGGCTTGGGAAGTGGCTGGCCCAAGGTGAGCCCACCTCTGCGGAGTGGCCGTCCTGCAGCGCCCAAGGGCTCCTGGAGCGTTAGGGGAGCCCCGTGCACTGACGTGGTGAGTGAGACTGATCCTGTTTTCCTTTCCAGGAAGCTATGAGTGCATTAGGAGCAAAGCCATGGGGTGCCCCTCTTGGCAGATGAATGGCTTGGGGGTAGGGATGGCCTTTCAGAACCCTGCTCCCTGCTACTTCAGTAGCCGCTGAGGAAGATAGCTGCCTGCCTGGGTCACCTTAATAGGGACCTTGGAGGAGAAACCGGTTTGTCCTGGATACCCCCTCTACTCCACCCTCTAGCTAAACCCCCAGCCTATGGCACAGACTCCCAGCATCAGAGAGGTGAGGGATGGAGGTTGAGGGGGAGCTGAAGAAGGAACAGGCTGCCTGCTCAGGGAACAAGACTGGGTTGAGGATGTATGCATGTACAGGGGCTAGACCCTTGAAAAGCCACCCGTTTTGCTCCCAGCCCCTTCCGTGGCAATACCTAGGTTCTACATCAGCCTCCTTGCGTCACCAGCAGCTCCCTGGAGGTCCAACATCTGGACCTTCCAACCCCACTGTTCCAGAAAGCCAATCTGGAATAGAGGGGCAGCCTTTCATTCTTACTGCAGTCTTACCTCCTCCGTAACCTGAGAAACTAGGAGCCGCACAGCCGAGGCAGCTCCCAGTGGTCCATAAACCTGGGATCTAACTCTCAGAGGAAGTGACACTGATCCCTTAGTAACTGCACGCAGCCTCAGGCATTCTGACCCTGCTGTAGTGTGAGAAGCTGTTTCCTGTAGTCCTTCCACCCACCACCTGTCCTCTGTCTGTGGATAGAGGCTGAGGTTTCCCCACCCTTGCCCCATTGGATCTCTACACAGACAGGCACTTTTGGGACCCAGACAGAAGCACACACATTCCTCTCATTCCGTCCCTTGGGGCCTCAGACTTCACTGGGCTGTGGCCACAACCTTGACCCCTGGGTCCCATAAGCCACATAACGGCTTTCCAACTCACTTTTCCCCTTGTGCCTATAGATTTTAGAGTCTGGAGTGAGAAGTAATTCTATAGTATCTCACTGAAAAACAAAAAACAAAACACTTCCTTGAACTCCTTGTTCCAGGTACCACCCAATTCCTCAGCTGTGCTTCAGAGCAAATTTCTCCAGTTATCTCTACTCCTCTGTCTCCACGCCCTCTCCCTGTTTCCCTTCAACACACTCACACCCAGCTTTTGTCCTCACCACTCCACTGGAACTCTTGTCAAGGTCCCTCTGCATCAGCTTCCTTGCCAGCCCTTCCCCTACTCCCAGCAGCACCCAGCACCATCAGTACCTCCTTTTTCTTGCAACATTGACTTCCCCTCCCACCTCCTCTGACCTAGCCCTCAGCCCTCGGTGTTGGCCTACGCCAATCTTTCCCTGATTCCACGGGTATCAACCAGCCACAGCTGATGGTCACTGAGCTCCTGATTTCAACATGCTACAGCGTACTTATTCCCCCCTCCCGCCCCCTGCCGTCCTGGCCTGGATGGCTAATAGGCAATTCAGATGAAACTCGGGAAAAATAGAGCTCCACCGTCCGCTGGCTGCTCGGGACCTGGGAGCCACCCCGGCTCATCCACATCTGATTCGTGAGCACGTTGTTGGGCTCACCTTCAAAATAAAGCAGTTCTGCTCTCTTGCACCTCCAGCCTGGTCCGTCATCTGGACTTGCCGGTTGTTTGAACTTGTCCGTCTTCTGACTTGCCCTCCACGCCACCCCCATAATCCATTCTCCATCTCCAATGGCTTCTCAGGGCACTTAGGAAAACAACCCAAACTCCCTCCTGTGGCCTAGAGTCAGGGGCTGGGGTAGGGGTTACTGTACGACCTGGCCCCTGCCTGTCTCCTACACCTCCTGCTCCCCGGGGAGTGCTGCTCCAGCCACAGTGGCTGCCAGCTGTTCCTCCGATACACCCAGCCTCCCTGCCTGGAGGCCTTGATAGCCTGGTGCCTGGAGGGCACGTGCACAGCTCTTAGCAGGCTCATTTCATCCTTCATCTCTCAGGGAGGCTTCCCTGGACACACCATCGGAAGTAGGTGCCTGTGCCTTCCAAAGAAGACCCTCATGGCCCCTAACTAGAGCACAATCTCCTTCCTTCTTACTCTACGGCCTGGGCCCCATCCACCTGGATAGATGAGCTCCCTGAAGGTGGGACCGTGTGTTTGTCTTTCACCAGCGCAGCTCCTAGTGTATGTAGGTGCTCAATAAACCTGTGACATGTTGCACGCATGCTCGATATCCCATGTATAATCCCAGAGGCTCTCAAGCCAACGAAGGCGTCCAGATGGCCTCTTCGTCCTCCCCCCTCCATTCCCACTAGGGTTTTCCAGGTGGGTGCTCCTGACCCCCTCGCCACCTCCCTCCCACCCTGGCCTCCACAGCCAATGCTGAGTCCTTTTATCTCCGCTTCCAGTCTGCTCCTTCCCTCCGCCCTTGTCTTCCTTGGATCCTTGGCCAATGTAGCTTCCAGCATCTTGCAGCCATCAGCTTTTCCTGCAGTTACTCTGGTTTTAACAAGCTTCTTGGGGCTCCCACTGCCCAGAGAAGGCAGCCCTGACCGTGGCAAAGAAGAGACGCTGTTCTCATCTATCCCTCTGGTGATGCTGGTGGGGGCTGGAGGAGGGAATGTGGCGTCCACTGGCCTTCCCTCTCTCCTGGGAAACATCTGCAGGTCCTGTAAGGCGGGTGGGAGGAAGGCCCTTTGGTACCCGAGTAAAACAGCATTAAGATCTCCCCATTGCCATCTACCTCACTGAGAGAAAGATTCAGGCTCCCAAAAGGGCAGCCAGGAGGGCAAGGAGCCTTGTGGAGGGCCACGAAGGACCTGCTCCCCTCACGATGACATTCTTCTGAGTCCCCATGCCCCACCCCCATCCGCACTCATAGCCAGAACTTAGCACTGTGACAGAGGTTTGGTGGCACTGCTCAATGATTCTATCTGGCCCGCAGACTGTTGGGCAGGAAGGTTCCAGGACTATTCCACTGCCCACATGTCAGCCGCTTCTGCCCTCTGACCTGGGTTCCAGTTCCACAGCCTAGTATCTCAGCCAGAAAACTCCTAGAGAACAGACACCAAACACTGACCTACTTTCGCCCCCCCTTCTCCAACGGCTGCAGGAGATAACCGTGCTCCACCCCACTGTACCTGTTGAGGCCCCACAGCTTCTCCTAGCAAGACCCTCCAAGACAGAGGCGCATCCCATCAGAAGGCCGCCCACCAAGACCTAGCTGGACCCTGGAATCTCACTGACAGGTCCTCAGAAGAGACCAGGAATCTGCATTACAACAAGCTCCCCAGGGCAGGCTGAGTGCAGAGCCTCAAGACAAAAGCCACAGGCGTGACTCATCTGCCCACCCTCATCTCTCTCCAGGCCCTGCTCCTTTCGGAATCACAACACCCATCACAACACCCGCCACCTGAAGCCTCCTGTGTTTGCGCAGACTATTACCCTGCTGGTCACCCTTGCCCTCTTGGCCCCTCTGCGTACTCCATGTCCTCATCCCTGGCTCATTCTTACTTGTCCCCTGTGTCAAAGGGCTGCCCTAGGTCCTGCCTCGAGCCAGTCACTCAGGGCTGACTGCCTCCAGCACCACTCAAATCACCCTTTCTGGGAGCTCATCCTGCTCCCTCCAGGAAGCTGGATGCGCTGGGTAGGGAAAGTCAGCAGGAAGACGCAGGGAACACCCTCAGGCCTTTCTGAGTCTCTGATAATTCTTATCTATAAAACAAAGAGTCTATAAAACAAAGAGTCTTGAAATGGAGTCTTTTTAGCTAGAAAATTCCATGACTTTTTGGTTATCTAACCATCTTTCCTCTTCCTGTTACCCTTATTTTGCTATTACTTGTCTATTCATCCAGGCATGAAATTTCAGAGTAAAGATGTAAAGTTTCTTAAGTATTTGAAGCCATGAGAAGAAAAAAAAAATTAAACTTCTGTATTGGTATGGGAAAAGCAGTAATAATTGTAGGATAAAATGGAAGTACATTCACATTTCAGTTGATTAGCATTTTTTAAAGACTTATAGTCATTTATTAGTTTGACATAAAATTTACTGACCCTGATGCAATATTCTTTTTTTTTTTTTTTTAAGCAAGTTATTTTGGCTAGTCAATTTAGCAATGCAGAGGCCTGGGAAAAACAGTAATAATTTGTGAATAAACAAATTTATTTTTCTTCACATTTTTGGTGGATGAAACAAAAAGTTTTTGGAATTGTTTCAGTGTTAGGTTTTTTTCCACTTGGCTTTTTCCACTCCTACCTTGAGGTCACCCCCTTCGCTCTTGTCTTATTAGTCACTTTATCTTGTCAATTGTTCCTTCAAAATCATTCTCTAGCTGGTCCACTTCTGACTGTCATCTATGTAGAGCAGTCGTCCACCCTCCACACCACACGATTTTCCTTTTGTCTAGGGAAAAAAATTCTTAAACAGGCTCTAATGGAACACTGGTGTTCCTGTGTGCGCCGAGGCACTAAAGAGCCAAATAATAGTGGCCTTTTCTCAGTCTGCAGGGGGAAACAATCTTAGTGGATAGAATGTTTTCAATTAAAATATTTTCTTCCTTTGGTTAAAAAATCACCACTGCCACAATGGAACAACTTTGTGCTTGCTATCACTTGTACTAGAAGTGACCAGTAGAAAGCAAAATTAGCCCTGGCTGGTGTGGCTCCGTGGAATGAGTACCTGCCTGTGAACCAAAGGGTCACCGGTTTGATGTGTAGGGCACATGCTTGGGTTGCAGGGCAGTTAGTTCCCCAGCAGGGGGTACGCGAAATGCAACCACACACTGATGTTTCTCCCCCTCTCCTCCCCTCTATAAAAAATAAATAAATAAATACAATCTTTTAAAAAAATAAAGCAAAATTTAAAAAATCAAATAGGATTCTGATCTTAACAGAAAAGCGCAGGTGGCCTGCATGGGAAAAGTGCAATGCTGCTTTGGGGAGCGAGCCCTTCTTTGGGGAACTCAGCTCCCCCGTGGGTCTGGCGTTATAGGGGTCCTTGAAAGTGAAACCAGAAAAGTCAGTGTTTGTGCTGTCACTACCAGAACCAATAAGCAGAGACAAGGACTGAATCTTTACAGGCGCTTTATTCAGAAGGCCGGCAGTCTGAGAGGATGGGGGGGTGAGGTGTTCTCTAAAACCATCTTAACATCTCATTTCAAGCCAACTTTTTTAAAAGAAGAAAAGGTAGGTGAGGGGTATGGAAAAAAGGTTAATTGGATAAGAGTTGCAGTCCAATACTGCGGAAAAGCTGCAGATTTTCCTAGTACTTCTTTATCTGTTGATCAACAGTTCTTTATCTGAGGTTCCCTCCCTGGAACACAAAGGCTCAGAAAACCATCTCCAACCTGTCTCCAGGGCTTGCAGACCTCCTGGGGCATGGAGGTTGAATTGCTAGTAGATCTCCTGGAATAGCTTTCCACATGCATTCATTACTTACACCTAGCAAATAAAATTACAATCTTTTAACTGTTGAGTTCCCCTATCAAAGTGCACAGTGACCCTTGGCCAGGCCAATCAGAATACTCCTGGCCACTGTGACTGGTTCAGGGATGCGAATGGGACCCCAGACTGTGGGGCTGCCTCTGGAGAGAAAGGTTGGGTCTTGCCTTTGGGGTGTTAGGCTGCTGGTGACACAGCGGAAGCTTCATGCTGGGGAGAATGTGGATGGAGAGAGGGCTCTGATGAGATCTGAGTGCCTCAGGCCCAGCTGAACTTGAAGCTCGTGCTACCCCGGACCCTTTCCGTCGTGGGCCAGAAGTGGGGCCTATGGTCCTTTTTCTACGGGCATGACTGTTCTCTAGATCGTATTGTATGATAGAAATTAACACATTGGTGTTGCGGAGCCCCTCAGAGTGCCCTGTGCTTTCCAGCAGCTTCACCTGAGGTCCTCTACTCCCAACTACACTTTCTACATGCCTACCCCACCAGGATTTCTTGATTCTGGAGCTCCCACTGTCATGCATGCCCAGTAGTCCCCTGTGGGCTCTAGGTTGGGAATGGGCCCCTTTCTCAGTTCCCAGGCTTCTTGGCCTGTAAGTCATCCTGGCCTTCAAAGATCATCCAGCCCAGGAGCCATTCCTCATTTACTGTCTCCCCTACCTCCCTGGCAATTCTTTGTGGGTAATCCCCAAGTCCTGGCGGCTTCTGACATGCGCAGTCACGGGAGCTCCATCGAGGTTCAAACCTGGCCCTGCAGGCAGGAGGCGGGAGGCTCTGGGGAAAGAGGTTGCCAGGCACATGACACGGCTGCCAACCCGCTCCCCCGATTCTCTTGGCTCCTCTCAGGCAGTTTTGCATTTGGTTGTACCTAATTGATCACACAGACCCTCCAGACCCAACATCCCCGCCCCCAGCATCTAGGAGAAGCTGCACCCCGCTGTGGGCCAGCTTCCAAACCTTCCCAGTGGGGCACTTCCCTTGTCCGGAGGCCCATGTGGAGGGTGGGACAGGAAGTAGGGTCTCTGTGGACGTGCTGCCGTGAGGTGGTGCCCCTCCCTGCTCAGCCCTTTTCTGGAATGGGCAGAGGCCCCACCTCCCTGCTCAGTGGGGGCTGTGACTGGTGTCCACTGGCAGCCCCAAGAGGCCATCTGTGGTGGGAAGCGCCCATCCTGGCCCCTGGCAGGGAACCGCTGGGCGGATGAGGTGGGCGCCTGCAAGTTGCACATTTGGATTTTGTTCCTCTAGAGCAGTTTTTCTCAACCTTTTTTTATCTCATGGCACACGTAAACTAATTTCTAAAATTCTGTAGCACACCAGAAAAAAATATATTTTGCTGGTCTGACAAAAAATAAAACTTTCTCACACCACATGGCTATTGTTGTGTTGGCTGTTATACTTTTTTTATTTGACAATCTAAAGGAAAAGAGGTCAGTGCCCCTGACTGAATAGTCAGGTATTGCAGGTTTTAAAAAATCTTGCAGCACACCATTTGAAAATTGCTGTAGAGATCCAGGGTTTTGGCGCCCTCTGCCTTGAATGTGGGTTCCAAGGCCCATGCCCATGTCCCTGGGCCCCCCCGGGGAGGGTGTCTCAGGTCCAAGGTGGGCAAGGGCAGTGGCTCTGCCACCTGGGACAGTTACTGCATACTTCGTGTCATGGTCGTCCCTCACTAGTAATGTAGGGCACAGTGGCCACCTCGGGGAGCTGACTGGGATTAAACAAGCTGACTAGCCCCTGAAGCAATGGTTCCTGCTGCAGCCTAGAACTCACAGAACCCACAGCTCTGTCCCGCCCTCCGAGGTGAGGGTGGGGGCATCGGTAGATGTGACTTCTCGCAGGAACCTGTGAGGGTGGGATGGCTTTTCTCTGGGACCCCAGGAGTGGCCACACCCAAGCCAGGGTGGTCCTCACATAGAATTTTATTCTCTGAGAGAGACTCTGGGGTCTGCGGGAGGGAGTGGGAGCCCCAGCAAAGAGGCTTCCTGGGGAGGCTGAGGGGGGAAGTCCCCAGTCCCAGGCTACGGGCCATTTCCTCAACCCTGCCCCAGGGACACCTTGGGGCTGAGTCTACAGGGACAGGCAACTAAGGCAGGCCTTGCTTGTGCAGTGATAGTTTATTGATCCTTAGCATTACGTCTCAGTTACCAAGGTAAATTCAAATACACAACTGCAGGTAAAAACATGTAAAATAATATAAAAATAAATTGAAGACTACTTTTATATATTTACTGAATTAAGTAGTGTAATAAATACTATAATAAGCAAAAAGCTTCAATCACACAATTCAGTTTCACTGAAGTTACAGTAGTGTTTGTAAATGAGTTGTAAAATTTAAGTTACAAATATTAAAGCACTGAAAAACTAGTATAAAAGTGAATTTTGGCACGTAAGTGAGCTCTTCTTCTGTCATTAGTATTTGACAACCTAAGACAACGAGGAAGCCATTTCTCACCTACTCTTTGAGGTACAACTATCCCACTAGGTCAGCAACACCGCTGGAATGAATACTTAATAGTTTACAATCTTCGAGTTAACGTTTCCCTTTTGAGAAGCCTGAAGAGCAACTCAGAGCTTATTACTGTGCAAAAATTCTCCAAAACCCTAACTGAATTCAGGAGGGAACGTCTTGCGACCTGCAGGCCCCAGTGTCCAGGCCTCAGGTCGGAGAGCCCCCAGGGTTTACGGGAGCCAACTTGACCCCTGGTCAGTGGCCCCTTCCTAGGGTGATCCCTTATCTCCGATTTCTGCCTCCTCCTTCCAATCAAAATAATAATAATAATAATAATAAATCCCACATCAAAACGTAAAATGACCCATAACTTCAGCGATTTCAACATTATCACACTCACTCTGGGTGATATAAAACTGAAGCTGCTAACAGGAAAGTTGGCAAAAAGCATGTAAGCCCCTGGAGGACTTTGGCCTGCGCCTCGGAACCCGCACCCAAAGTCTTTGCTGGGTTCTCTGTATCCACTTCTAAGGTCACAGTCTAACACACAGCGCCGTGGCCCTTCCTCGGGAGGCAGCTAAGCCCCCGCCCTCCACCTGGAGGAACCAAATGGATACAGAACTTCACAGTCAGAACCCAGCAGCCCGCAGGTGTGGACCGGGCAGCGCGGGGAGGCTGCCTCCTCCCAGCCGCAGTCCTCAAAGAGCTCACACTGCGCACAGCTAGTGTGCCTCTTCATCAGGGGCACGGCAAGTGTGCCCCGGGGAATGAAATGCCCTTTCACCTATGTGCCCCTTCACACTCCTGAGCAGGCTGAGGAGTGTCTAAGGAGGCTGGAGCCAGTTTTGCCTTTT